ATAATTTACGACCAGAGGGTGACTTTGAAAGGCCGGAAAAGAAACCGATTGGTCCTGCTGAGCGACGTACTCCGATCAAACATTCCGATAATCTGAAGCCAGAGGGAGAATTCGAAAGACCTAAGCCTGAAGAATTTAGGCCTGCGGAAAGACCTGTTGTAAAGAAACCACATGACAATTTGAGACCAGAAGGTGAATTTGTATCTCGACCGAAAGAAGAAGCACCGAAGAAAGGTGAGAGAGCCGATGTTAGAAAGCCACAAGATAATTTACGGCCAGAGGGTGACTTTGAAAGGCCGGAGAAGAAACCGATTGGTCCTGCTGAGCGACGTACTCCGATCAAACATTCTGATAATCTGAAGCCAGAGGGAGAATTCGAAAGATCTAAGCCGGAAGAATTTAGGCCTGCGGAAAGACCTGTTGTAAAGAAACCTTACGATAATTTGAAACCAGAAGGCAAGTTCGTATCTAGGCCGAAAGAAGAAGCGCCGAAGAAAGGTGAGAGAGCCGATGTTAAAAAGCCAAAGGATAATCTCAAGCCCGAAGGTGATTTTGAACGACCGGAAAAGGCACCTGTTGGTCCAGCGGAACGGCGTACTCCGATTAAACATCCGGATAATCTGAAGCCGGAAGGTGAGTTCGAACGACCCGAACAGGAAAGTTATCGTCCAGCAGAAAGGCCAGAAGTTAAGAAACCGACAGATAATCTCAAACCTGAAGGTGAATTTGAAAGACCTCGTCCTGAAAAATATGCTCCGACCGAGAAACGCATGCCGGTGAAACATACAGATAATCTTAAGCCTGAAGGTGAATTTATTGGTAAACCGAAAGATGATTTCACGCCCACTAAAGGCGATCGCGCAGAAGTTAAAAGACCGGAAGATAATCTAAGACCGGAGGGGCCGTTCGAAGGTCGACCAAAAGATGATTACCAACCAGTGCGAGGAGAACGGGTAGATGTTGTAAAACATACGGACAATTTGCGTATGGAAGGAGATATAGAAACATATAGATCCAGAGATGAATACATCGATTTCTTGATACGCGAAAGAACCGAGATTACTAGATATCAAGACAATTTACGTATGGAAGGTGAATTTATCGACACAAGAACACGAGATGATTTCAAAGTCGTCAAAGGCGAACGAATGGAAGTTGTTAAGCATCATGACAATTTAAAACCGGAAGGTCCGTTTGAAGGTCGTCCGAAAGATGATTATTCGCCAAAGAAAGCAGAGAGACCTGAAATTAAAAAGCCGGAAGATAATTTGAAACCAGAAGGTGAGTTTGTACGTCGACCTAAAGAAGAAGCGCCTAAAAAGGGCGAGAGAGCCGACGTGAAAAAACCGAAAGATAATTTACGACCGGAAGGTGATTTCGAAAGGCCAGAGAAAAAACCAGTTGGCCCAGCAGAAAGGCGTACCCCAATTAAACATTCTGATAATTTAAAACCAGAGGGTGAATTTGAAAGACCGAAACCTGAAGAATTTAAACCTGCCGAAAAACCTGTTGTAAAGAAACCACAAGATAACTTAAAACCGGAAGGTGAATTTGTGTCTAGACCAAGAGAAGAGGCACCGAAGATCGGTGAAAGAGCTGATGTTAGAAAGCCCCAAGATAATTTGCGACCGGAAGGCGACTTTGAAAGACCAGAAAAGAAGCCAATTGGTCCCGCTGAGCGACGTTCTCCGATTAAACATTCCGATAATCTGAAACCAGAGGGAGAATTCGAGAGGCCTAAACCAGAAAAGTTCAAACCTGCCGAAAGACCAGTAGTCAAAAAACCACATGATAACTTAAAACCAGAAGGAGAATTTGTATCTAGACCAAAAGAAGAGGCGCCGAAGAAAGGTGATAGAGCTGATATTAGAAAACCGCAGGATAATTTGCGACCAGAAGGCGATTTTGAAAGACCGGAGAAAAAAACCAATTGGTCCTGCTGAGCGTCGTTCTCCGATTAAACATTCCGATAATTTGAAGCCAGAGGGTGAATTCGAAAGACCTAAGCCTGAAGAATTCAAGCCTGCTGAAAGACCAATCGTAAAGAAACCACATGATAACTTGAAACCAGAGGGTGAGTTTATATCTAGACCGAAAGAGGAAGCGCCGAAGAAAGGTGACAGAGCCGATATTAGAAAGCCGCAAGACAATTTGCGACCGGAGGGTGACTTTGAAAGACCGGAGAAAAAACCAATTGGTCCAGCGGAAAGAAGAACTCCGATCAAATATGCGGACAACTTGAAACCAGAAGGCGAATTCGTGGGTAAACCTAAAGAAGAAGCTCCAAAAAAGGGAGATAGGGCGGACGTTAAGAAACCCGCGGATAATCTTAAGTCTGAAGGAGAGTTTGAGAGGCCTGTGAAAACTCCAATTCGACCGGCGGAGAAACGAACGCCTATCAAGCATCCTGATAATTTACGGCCTGAGGGTGAATTTGAAAAGCGTCCAAAGGAAAAGATACCTAAAGGCGAAAGAGCAGATATTACTAGACCAAAAGATAATCTGCGTCCGGAAGGTGAATTTGAAAGGCCTGAGAAATCATCAATCGGACCAGCAGAACGACGTACGCCAATTCGACACGAAGACAATTTGCATCCGGAAGGTGAATTTGTTGGTCGACCGAAAGACGATTTTGTTCCCAAGCGCGTCGATCGACCGGTTCAAAAGAAGCCTAAAGACAATTTGAAGCCTGAAGGAGAATTCGTAGGAAAACCTAAGGACGACTATAAACCGACTAAAGGTGAAAGAACCGAGATCGTAGTGCATCGCGATAACTTAAAGATGGAAGGCGACATAGACATTTATCGGTCTCGAGATGATTACGTAACTTCGTCTAAACGCGAACGTGTGGATATCATCCATCATAAGGATAATCTGAAGATGGAGGGCGAATTTGTTGATATTCATCGACGAGATGATTATCGAGTTACGCGCGGTGAACGCAGTGAGATTATCAGGCACGAAGACAATCTTTATCCTGAAGGTGATTTCGAACGACCAGAGAAGGCACCGGTAGGTCCCGCTGAAAAACGATCTCCTATTAAACATCCTGATAATTTGAAGTCAGAAGGTGATTTCGTACAACGGCCAAAGGAAACCGCGCCTATTAAGGGTGACCGAGCAGTGATCAAGAAGCCCAAGGATAACTTGAAGCCTGAAGGTGAATTTGAGAGACCAGTGAAATCACCCATTGGTCCCGGCGAACGACGATCACCCATCAAGCATCCTGATAATCTTCATCCAGAAGGAGAATTCGTTGGCCGGCCAAAGAAAGATGCGCCGCTAAAGGGTGACCGAGCGGATGTGAAGAAACCAAAGGATAATCTTCACCCCGAAGGAGAATTCGCGAAACGTACTCCAAAGAAAGTGGAACCGGCCGAACGAAGATCTCCGATCAAACACAAAGATAATCTTCATCCCGAGGGAGATTTCTACATGACACCTAAAGACGATTTTACTCCAAAGAGAGCAGATCGATCACCAGTTAAGAAACCCCAGGACAACCTTCGTCCCGAAGGTGACATGGAAGTATCTCCGAAGGATGATTATAAACATATAAATGGAGAACGCGTGGAAGTACGTCGGCACGAGGATCACTTACGCATGGAAGGACATATGGACGTTCATCGTTCAAGAGATGACTATAAGAAAATCACGAGAGTGGAGAAAGTGGATGTTAAGAGACGCGAGGATAATCTCAGAATGGAAGGTGAATTTATCGACATACGTCGCAAGGATGATTACGTGCACACGATTGGCGAACGCATGCCGATGAAAAAGCATCCGGACAATCTATATCCGGAAGGAGACTTTGACAGACCACAAAAGATCGTGATCGGCCCCGCGGAGAGAAGAACGCCGATCAAGCACCCGGATAATCTTAAACCAGAGGGTGACTTCGAACGTAGAACTCCGGGTAAGATTAGGCCCGGCGAGAGACGCTCGCCGATTCGTTATGCCGATAACTTGAAGCCGGAAGGTGACTTTATCGGGCGTCCACGCGATGACTTCACTCCCAAGAGAGCAGAAAGGGCCGAAGTCGCGAAGAGAGAGGATAATCTAAAGATGACGGGCGATTTCGAAGGCACAACGTCTCACAAGTCGACCTATACGGTGATTCGTGGCGAGCGAGCGGATATCAAATCGCACGAAGATAACTTAAAGATCAGCACCGGTACCATGGAAACGAAAACAACCAGCAGAGATACTTATACACCGTCTAAACATGAACCTTCACCTGATAAAACGATCAATCGTCGAAGACACATGGAGTCGTCGATCTCGCTCGGTGACGACACTACCACGATGACCACGACGAATCAACGTAACTACAACACCTACACGAAGCGTTCAGGAAAGGATATCGCTGCCAAGATGAATCAGATAGAAACTGATACCAGGAAGACCATGGAGTCGCAAACTCTGGCAGACGGGACCGTCGTTACGATCGTAAAACATACAACAACTTCCGCTCAATCCGATCAGAGAGTCGCCAATGCTCAAACTCATCATCAACAGACACAGCATGTTACGGATCGTCGTGCCACTCAATCGATTGACGATTCTCGAAAAATGACCTCCCAATTAGTGTCCAATCAGCATCACGAACAGCATCAGAGAATGCACGCAAGCGAGCAACACTTGCGATCGCAGAACGTGACGCAGAATCGTCGTACGATCGAGGGCAGATCGATCACAGAAGGACCGACTCATCGCGGACAAATCGCGCGTGGAGAAGAGACATCTCGTTACGCGATCGACGCCACACACGGCGAGCATCATAAGCAGCAACAGCAGCAGCAGCAGCAGCAGCAGCAGCAGCATCACGTCGAGCGTCACCATCAGGAAGTGACCAAGCGCGATTACGTGAACGCGCAGCACATGGAAAGCCGGCAGAGATCTGCGACGAAGCAGCACGAGCAGCACACAATCTCCAGTCAGGCGCGATACAGTTCGACCAGCCCGGAATTCCGGCAGACGATGAACGGGCAAACGATCGTAGAACGATCACAGGTGGATCACGCGACCACGAAGATCGGCCACCATCGCAAGAGCGTGATATCCTCGTCATCGGCCGACGTCAGCAACGCGGTGCTCCACCGACGCGGCGCCACGTCGTCCACCGAGGCGCTCCACACGATCTCGTCGACGGCGGCGGATCAGCGCAAGAGCATCTCGAACCTGGCCGAGAGCGGGCAGTACATCAGCAACTCGACCCAGAGCAACGACAGGCACAGCTTGACCTCGCTGCATCGCAGCACCAAGGAGGTCAATCCCTGGGCGTCCTCCAGCTACGAACGCCCGCAGAGAATCGTCCGGCAGGACAACCTGACGGTCGGCGGGAAATTTTACTCGCAGAGCGAGGCGAAGAATTACGGCAATTTCTCGCAGAGTACGCAAAAGGTAGAAAGGGTCCAGAAACAGGCGAACGCGTCCCACATTAATTTGGGCGACGGCAATACTGTCAGTACTTCTAGCATGTACAAGAGAGAATTCGTTCCTAGACATAGAGGACCGTGTCCAGCTGCTCTTTTGGAAGCGAAACAGGCGCCCTTCAAGCATACAAGAGACACGCAGAAGCATAAGTTCTACATGCCTCTCGTGTCCAACTAAATCGACTTGTCCAATTTGATATTTTAGTAATTTTTTCACAAATTACGCCCAACGACGATATTGTAAAATATTCAAATCAAAATGTTGCTCGAGAAAAAATAATAACTAATCACTAAAACTATACGCGAAACATTTATTATCGCGTATAACATTCTGAAAGAATATTCTGTTACATATCAATCGATTAAAAATAATAATAATTCATTAATAATTATTATATAATTATAATAATTATAATAATTAGTGATAATAATAATTAATTATATCTCATAATAATAATTAATTGTTATTATACTATTAATTATTAATTATAATAATTAAAATATGAAATTGTATATCATACAGTAAATTATTTATTTTTCAAAATGCTCAGATTTTTTTTATGATTAAATCATCCGAAAAGGATAATGATTGATAATGATGCTGTGATGATCTCGCGCTGTTGAAAAATTAATTTATATTTTATATTCGTTGAAAAATCATGAATAGAAACAATCATGATATAATCGTTTCTAAACTATGATATCAACGGATGAGATTTGTTCTACAGTGATATAAATGTCTCTTGTATAGCAATATTAAATATAACTGTTAAAAAAAATACATATGCATAATAAACGCTATTTCTTTCTATAATGCAATCGCAAATGAAAATAATATAGTCGATATATAAATATCGATTACCGCTAACTCTTATCTGCCGATGAGCAGATAGCCACTCGTTATGCATTCCTTTCTTCTTAAAACACGTGTATACAAAGCAATAACTAGAGCTTAAATCCGTGATATGGTCGAATCTAATGGAACATTAGTTTCGTCCGGTAATTAGGATAGTAAGCGCATTACGTTATTCTATTTCGCTGACTCTATGACGTAAGGTTTTTATATGGCCATGAGTTTCTCGCTTATGTTTTATTTAATTTCCAGCTTATTTTATTGTCGCACTTACTTAGCATTGTATTCTAAGAATATTTTTTTCAGCAAAATATCAAATAGAAGAATAGAATATACGTAATTTCTTTTCCATTTTGTTAATTAATCCACCTTAGATGGATAGTTATACTTTATGTTTATAAGTTTATTTACTTTATGTTAAACATTTATTTTAATTGAATAAAACTTATTTGTATTTATTTGTTACGTGAGTTTTATTTGTTACCATTATATTTATTTTATTAGCACACTATTTTCTTTATTTTATCGAACGTTGCATACAATAGAAAAATATTCGGAATTATTATTCATGCAATGTGCTTATGTACATATCGATGTATAGTTGCAACAGAGATTAATTAATTATTAATTAATAAAAAGATTATAAATAAATCAAATTAAGAGCAATTAGAAATTAAGATTTAACATTTGACACTGTCTTGTTAAGTTCTAAATTATAAAAATAGTTCTGATGTCAATATTAAACAAATTTAGCCAAAGGATCTGCCATTAAAAAATAACGCAATGGGAATGTATATATGTAAATTAAAGTGACAATCGGATCCTTTCTATTAATAGTATTGATAACACATGGCCATGGGCTGTTCGCAAAAAATGTGAATGAATAAAGCTCTATCGGCCATTGTTGATGTAAAAAAGATCTCATTTATATTCCTAATTTTTTTCTAAACCCGGCTGCATAGACAATAATGACTCGGGTGTGTATACTAGATTTTACACACTTTAGAGGTATGTAAAACTAAATATATCAAAAAATAAATCGTATTTTTTACTATATTTTTACTAAGTCCTAAAATATATATAGTACAACATATGGCAGTATCTCTCTGAAATATATCTATATATTTCAAGTCGGATTCAGATCAAGCAAGTGTAAACTGCCGCGAATGAACAACTTGCTGCGGCATAGTTCACATTCATTGAAGCAAGTTGTTCATCCATATCTGTTTGCGTTCGCACTTGGTTTGGACTCGGCTTAAAATAATAACTTTGATCGAGTGGACATTTAATAACATGAAATTATCATATTTCGCGCAATGACATTGACATTTTACACACATGTGTCGATCATTGTCGTTATGTAGATAGAAAAAATAGCGTAGGAAAATATATGATAAATGTAAATGACTGTACATTTAAAACACAATAAACAAAATGATGTATTTTATATTCTCTTCGGGTTTTCTAATGTAGGAAAATTTCACATTCTCATAAATTTTTTTTTTTTTTAATTGAATGTATCATTGTAAATCATTTATATGTCATTTTTACAAGCCAAGCAATTAAAGTTCTATTCGTTCAATTAGAAGTCACGAACAAGTCACGAAGAATAGAGAAATATATTACTTTCGTATTACAAATGGTTGTATGGCAAATACATATCTTTTTTTTTAATAAGTTATCAACGCTAACTTTCCTAGGTCATCTTAAGAAATATTGTATAGATATAGATAATTCGTCTAACAAGTGGGAATCTCATGTCACTTGCCAGACTTCGGGAACGCTCAGAAGTGCACGAAATCACGTGACATTTGTAACAGACATTAACAATTAACATATGTACATATATATACATATACGCAACCAATAAAACGTGACCGTTGTATTTTATTCTTTCAAAACACATATCTTGTGTAGCCAGTGCTTTTCCCTCGCCCCCCCCCCCAAAAAAATAGTCGCGTCTTCTATTGATGAGATCAAATATTAATTACTTATTCAATGTGATATATACGTGCGCGAGATGAAACAAGATGGTTCGAAGCTGCGGTACCGTTACTACCTGTTTCCTCGGAGTATCTCTCGTTCTTTCCGTCTCCTTTTGCCTCGTCATCACGCTCTCGACGTCAAGAGAGAGGAACAAGTATGGTCCAGCGCCGTGGGCCAGCGACCGCCGCGTCTCACGCTTTTTTCCCTTCGCCCACCCTCTCGTGTATTTTTACACCGCGCTCCGGCGCCTCGTAAAATCTCAGGGTTGTTAATCCTCGCAACGAGGCTGTCGAAAATTTCGCGCCGGGATGGAGATTTCACTCCGCAACTTTCATGTCTCTCTCTCTCTCTTTCTCTCTCTCTCTCACGGAAATTATAGGCTGCCTCTCTAATTACTCGATCTCTCGTTCGAATTCGTTCGGCGAACTTTCGATGTGACCGATCAGAGGGAACGTTTTTTATTTTGACGACGTGGCGTTGTAAAATTTTCTTCGCATCGATGAACCGGTGTAAAATGAATCGCGATATCGCGAGCGGTAAAAACCGTGATCCTTACGGACGCAGGAAACGGGTAAAATTTCTTATTAAGCAGCCTTTTTCCCATCGAATTCCGAGTGCAACGGTACTGATATGCATCCTACATTCGTTTTTGTACATTATTACAGTTCCAGTTTCCAGTTGCAAAACAGACGTTCCTCTCGCAGCTTGTTATTGAATAATAATTTTTGCCTCATCTGTACCCGCTGATTACACGTACATGTAATTACTGTTTATCTAATTAATGCAGCACTAAACCGTTATCAGCAATTTTCTTTTACGTTTCATTGCTGTTACATAAATAATTAAAACCGGCGGTCTAGTTGCACGCGATTCTCGAACGATTAAGATGCCGGCCTATTAACCGCTAATCGACGTCGATCGTAATTACGGGCGCCCGCCAAGTGGCACAATTCTAAGGAAGCGGTTCGAGATCATTGCCCTCTTTTTCCCCGGCCACTCGCGACCTCGCGGCACCGCCGTGAAAAGCAAACGAGGGGAAGAAATATCTATAAAATCGAAAGGGTAATGTATTAATCGACCCACGCGATTACAGTTAGATCTGTCCTGTCGTGATTACTCCGCCGGGGAGGACACGCTTGTCGCGGCGCGCGTTACACAGTCAGAGCGAGCGCCGAGCGCACGCTTCCGCGAATATGTGCAATGCGAATTGCATGCGGACGCGAAACAAGGTGAACAAAAGAAGTGGCGGCGACCCATTAACCGGCATGTCATCGTCGTCGGTCGTCGGCGTCATCGTTGTCTAGGCCTCCATCGAAGTGGTACGATTCGGAATGACCAGACACGCCGAGAGCGTTGTCCTCTTTCGCGCGGGCTGTCCAGTGACTACCTGCGGGCGAGCGTAGTCACCTGCCGCATACCTGTCTACCTCGCATGCCGCGGGCAATCGCCGTTCCTCTTTCCCCCCCTCCCCTCTCTCTCTCTCTCTTTCTCTTTTTCCTTCTTCCTGTCCGTCGCGAAAAAAACATTCGCTTTCACGAAAGTCCCGGCCCTCGTAAGAGGCCTCCTCTACGTTCCTTCGATCGCACGAGGCGCGCGAGAGAAGCTGCGCCACACGCGAGGTATCCGCGGTGAAATCCGCGGTCTCCGCCGGCGTTTCTTCCGCGAGGAACTTACACGCCGCCGGGAACAGACACACTCGTAAGTCGCTGACATTCGCGCCGAGGCTGATACGCGCGCGTTAAAAAAAAAAATATCCTAAGATCGCGATCTCCCCATTAAGATCGATTAGGATGATCCTCCTCTCGATCTCACGTCACGTGTGAAATTTTTGACACACATACTTCATTTTGACATACATCTTTTCACAGATACCGACGAAACGTACCAATATCTCCTGGTGAACGCTGGCTGGAACCATCGTCGATCGGAGTCACTCGGTAGAGAAGAAAAAAAAGTGGACAAATCAGTCTCCGCTTAGGATTTCGCGCTTGCGATCCTTTTCGTTTCACACTCGGCCGGACGATAATGCACCTTCTTAGGAATCTAGGTACCGGCGAAAAGTTATCGAACAATATTCCTGGCACGCGACCCCGTTGCACCGTTGCTCGCGCCGATTTGCCCACCTCCGTTCCGAGTCCCTCGTTACGAGAATCACACGTCGCCGATCTGGCGGTTCTGTCGAATAGTTTTCGCGGTAGAATCGCGATCGCCATGGTCGTTGCCGTTAAACGACCGAATTCGATACGCCTGCGACCACCGCCCGGTCAAAGCCGTCGATTTTCTATTACGCCGATTTCACGCGCTCGTGCGTGAACGTACATTGCGATTTTGCAGTCGCGAGACCGTTCATTAGCGTGTCCCTTATTTGTGAGGCAGACAGTCTTTCTCATTGCATCACGTGAGTTTCACCTTTTCTCTTCTATTATAACATGTCGATATGTTAAATTTTAAGATATTTAATATTAAGGAAACATCGAAATAACATTACTAGTATTTTTACTATTTTAACTTTAATATGCATCTTACTTTTTAGCGAAAACGACGAAATGACAGACGAGAAACGTGAGAACAAATGAACTTGTAATTACGTGTTTTCTGTATGCGCAAGATATTAGTTAGTTAGCGTTAATATCTTATAATTTGCATAAACAGAAAGTGGCATAAAGGATTTTCTAGCCGGCACGGCGCTCAGTTGTTCACGCTTGGTGCATAGAAACTGAGGAAAAACGCCGTCCTAGGCTGTAATTTTATTGTCGGCGCGAGAAACCAAAACGTACGCGTTTGCAAGCGGCGCTCGTTCCAGCAACCCAGATCTCCGATGGAAATATACCGTTAAAACGCGCCACAGGTTTGCAGCCGTTACTCCACGTTCGACGAATCGTTGACTGGCAGAAATCTCCCCGGTTCCTCCTCATTCTGACGATCGGTTCGCCGGCAGATCGTTTCGCCGTGCAATTTCGCGAGGAAGGATATCCGGAATTTCTACAGATACATCGAGATGTATCCTCCAGCGATTTCAGAGAGCGTTTAAAAAATTTAATTTAACCCCGAAAAAAAAAAGAAAAACTCCTAAAATGCATATTTTATGAATGACGAATTATTAGCAAGATTCTCAATAAAATGTTTAAATCAGAGATGTATCGCGTATTTTACGCCGGCCAACCACGGTCGGCGTTTTCCTTTCCTTCCTTTGGATCTGGTTTTATCCATACTTGGCGTACGCGCACCATGCCGTATTAGCTAAATTTCCGGCATAGCGCCTTCACACGCCCGCATATTTGCGGCGTTTGCACGATCCTAGCGAAAGTACTTTTAGCAGCGGCGAATTATCGGCACGGCGGTACGGGTGTGGGAAAGAGGATGGCATTCAATGACTCCCAGCGCGTCTGACAGATTCACTCGTTCCACTTCTCTGTTACCCGGGTTCTGCGGTTTTGCGAGGCAAGGCATTACCGCATGTCCGACACGTCTGATGAGATTACCCACGGAG